TGGCTTCGCGAGCACTTTACGGACTACCTTCTGCTCATTATTTCAGATGAGAGCTGCACTTTAGAGACGACAGATCAATGCCATGCGTACTTCAACAATTTCCTCTAAGGATAAATGTGCGAAATATATATAAATAATATAAATAAATGTCGATGTCGATCTCTACACGTTCTAAAGCAAAATGAAAAAAAAGGATGGGAAGCTTGCTTATTAAATAAATAATAAGAGAAGATAAATCTTGAATGTAAAATCGCGTTCGAAGGTATCGCCGTCGTAATCGAAAATATCGCAGTGACAATTGGATGGTCGAATAGAAAGTAAGGGATATTGAAGGTTGCGGTTAATGATGAAGAGTCAGACCCCCCTTTCGTCTGTATAGGTTTCGTTCTGGCAGCAGCCGCGAACCCTTTCGCAATGGTATCGCCACGTGGTATTCGCAAAGTGACAGGTGCAATCGTCATTTACTACGACGTTCAAGGCTCTCGATCGGACTACGGATATTACGCACTGGCGAGCGAGTATGAATCGAAGGATCGGCTTTCGAAATCGATTCCATTACATCGTCCGAAGGACGCGCAACGAAAATGGCATGATCCTTTCGAAATGAATCTCACGCGCAGATGAGATAATCGCCAGTGCCGTTACGCGTTCGCTCTCGCGCATCCATAATAATATCTAATTTATAAACATTGCTGCAAGCTGTAATCATGGAAATTTATGGTTAATTAAGGTTACATCTTATTAATGCGCAAAACATTTTTTCGTTTTTTTTTATTTTTTTTTTATTTTCTATTTTGTCGCGCATTTCATAACCGGATGCGTTCGCGATATTTATTGCATCTGTCCGCACGAGGTCGCGCTTACCATGTACATTTTGTTTATCAGATCGGTGCACGCAAAGATGGGAAAACAACGGTTAATATTAATTTCCGTTGTACTCTCAGTTAAGTGGTCAAACGATTAGAGCCATGCATGTTGATCCTTAACGCGATAAATTTCCGGAAAACGAACAATTTAATTTGTTTATTTAATTGAAACGTTTTATGGGATTTGTTTTATATCAGTACACGCGCGACAGAATTTGATGCTATGCAAGTCGCATTCCCGAATTTGGATGTCACGCGCTTATTTTTCAAAATAAAAATTTAGAACGCAAATTAAAGTCAATCATTTATTAAATTTCTCGATATTTTAAATTTTAATATTGATTAATGATTTTATTATTGATTAAAATTAAATATATATGTATGCGATATATCTCATTTTTTGTTGAAAAATGATATTGCGATAGATATAGATAAATTAAACGATTAAAATTATAATTATATATCGTTGATTGAGGGAGAGACAATTTGATATCTTTATTCACTATTTTTTTCACTTTATAACTTTTGCGCGATCGATGCGTGCCGAATGTTGTTTTAAATACAAATAACGCTATTGCGAATATTGCATTTGTTCATAAAATACAGCAGATAATAATAGATATGTAATCCGGAATGAATGCACTTTCAATATTGCTGGAAATTCTGTAGGTTATATATATTTTTTTTTAGATATTATATGATATACTGTCAAATCCTTTCCCAATTACAACAATATTGATATTTATTCAAGAATGTAATTATACAAAATTTAATTTAAAATTGAAAAGCTGTAAGCCGTCATATTTTATTGCAATTTGTAAAATTTCGTAATAAAATATTTAAAGATTGAAATATATACATCTATCCTTTAAAGAGATATGATATTTTATATATATATATATAACGGACTAGATGTAAAATTTACATTGACAAGATATTACTACAATTGCGTACAGTGGTATTTCTTGAATAAGTAGCGAATGGCGGACGCTCGTATACGGGAAATCATTTTCAACAAGTGGGCAACAGGGTTGTTCGTCAGAAATGAGAAGGGAGAAAGACGTGAAGAGGAGAATATAAATGATGAGTCCGATTTTTAATGAAAGCCGCGCCACGAGGGGAGAGTGCGTACGCGGCGTAGCCGCGTTTGTTTCTAGAGAACCCTTCAGACCGCTGGATCATCCAGTTACGCCCCAGGGAACGAGGGAAAAAAATCCTAATAATCGCTGGTCGAAAAATATCACCGACGAACCCCCTCGACCGTTTAATTGCGCGCCGAAGTACGAAACATATTGGTTTCCCGGTCGCATTTTCTCACTTTTCTTTCCACCAACTGACCGTTCTCTTCTACTTTCTGGACTTTCCCTTTATGGCAATTTCCGTCAAGATTTATAGTATAACAAAAGTATAAAGCTGTGATTTGTCTGACCTAAAAGAAAAAAGAATGGTGATGTTTCCATTAATACAAAAACAATATATTAGTAATTAATAATTATATATAAATCGATCTAATATATACAGCATTGGCATATATTTAAAATTTGCTGCTTGCTATATAATTGAATTAATTACTTATATTATACAATATAAGTAATTAATTATACAATATAAGTAATTAATTCAGAATATTTGAAACTATACGAGAATAATGAATAATTTCAGCATGGACAATCAATTATTCTTCTTTCGTTTAATTTATTTATTGTTTATCCTTTTTCTTTTCACTTAACTCTTCTTTTCCTATGTATTTGCAAATTTCATTGTTACAATATTCGTCATCTTTTTCTCATTCGTGGGAATTGAAAATTGTGGCGATTTTTGAAATGACGTCCATAATTATTTTTTTTCCTAATATATTAGAATAATATTCAGTTACTTAAATAATTATTATTATCTACAAATACAAATTAGTAATTATAAACAATTGTGCATACAAATACTGTAAGCCATAAACATTTATAAAAATTTATTATTAATTACAGAAATTAAAAATTATGTATAAATAATTTAATTAGAAATTATTTTTTTAAAGAAGTCGTGTGTGTGTGTGTGTGTGTGTGTGTGTGTGTGTGTGTGTGTGTGTAGAATTTTTTTGAAATCTGGCACAAATAAAAATATTCCGTATATATACATATACACGGAATATTCTTATTTTATGCTAAATATAATTTAATTAAAAATTTAATTAAAATACATACACACAAATTTTCCTATTTAAATAAATAAATGTGTACATCTTGTCATAAATTAATAATTTTTTTTTTAATAAGCATAACATTGGCATGATATTGGACAATACAGATATCTTGTGATGAAACAATTTTATATGTATTTCTCATATTTAATTGTTATGTGTTTATTACAGATAAATTTTTATACTTATTGAAGACTATACAATTGTTTTTACATTAACTAAGAAGTTATTTATAAAAAGAAGACATAATAAAGATTTATTAATTTTATACAACTATTAATTAATTCTTTATTGCTATGTAGAAGTTTGTTTTTTTATTTGTAATCATTTACATATTACAGATTGCATGAAAATGTTCATTATTCGTAAACGGTGCGTGACACAGTAACAACGTGCATCGAATAATTCAGCGTTAAAATCAAATATTTGTCACGAAAATTTCATGCTCGGCATCCGATCATCAGAAGTTGCTGCTTCGACGTGCTATTTGCGGTACACCTGTTATCTCTTTTTGCAATATTTGCGACATTGTCGTGTTTACTACAATATCGCATTACCGGATTAAACATTAAGATTAAATATTTTCATATAGCACATTTGAGAACACTTGTGCAAATTAATATGCTTTTTATTGAGGAAACTGCGCACTGAATTCATATTATATGCAATACTTATGAGACTATTGGAGAGTCGTATCTGTAATCAAACTAATGTCTAATTAATGGAGCCAAAACAATTTTCCGCATGCTAAGATTTTTAACATTTTAGAATATTTTGCATTGAATAGTTTTTTGCATTGTGAAATTGGCGAAACCAGCATATCATTTTAACGTTATAATAAAACAATTGAAATGAAAAACAAAATTATGAACACACACACACACACACACACACACACACACACACACACACACTATTATTTA